ACATTGAAATCGCACCATATAGCCAAATTTGAATCTCGCCGTATATCATCCTGTGCATACCTCTGAACGAGTGAAAAGTTTTAGTAGCAACGGTTTGTGAGTCAAATGGTGCGCAAGTACAATAACTTCATAAAAAACGCACGGATGGGTTGTAATAAAAGAAATAAGAAAGTCCTTTTCATGAAATTATTATAATAGAATGGAGTCAAATAAAGTAAACAAGTCGTGGGTACATTTTTGTAAATTATCATTATTTTTAATGGTCAGCATTGCTTCAATAGACATATGAAGACAATATTGTTGAGTGATACAAAAGATTAGGCTTTATTACGCTGTGGTGATGAATTACAAGACATTAATGCAATTAAGCTTTTATCTTGCTCACTTGCTCGTTCAAAGCATGAATATCTAAGCATCAATTTACTGTTTGGCAGCTTTTCTATAGCTTTTGGATGGTTAAACTTGAAAATATGCAGCAACGTTTACTAAAGTACCTACATTTCAAGGAAAACGGCAGTTACCCACCAATTGGCAACCCACAAATAATCTTAGAAGAAGCCTTTGATCTAGAAAGACTCAGGGAAAGGCGTGATAAATGCTTCGTTAATTTTGTGCGTAATATACAGGGTGACTTCGAAGTTGAGTCATTTATTTTAACAGTGAGTAGATCTGATCAAAAGAAATGTTTTTTTCCTTTACCATTTTTCTGGTAAAATTAAAGTAACAAAGTCATAGCCCTTTGGAAGTTTGAGTACCGCCCTGTCTCAATAATAATATTATGTGCTCGTGTTTGGCAACAACAGATATAATCCGCCTTATCCGTTCATCGCATCGGAAACAAAAAAGCGAAAGAATTTGGAACGATGTTTTTACAATTATTTTCTTCAGTTGTATACAGTCAGTGTCAGTCGATAACGCGTGAGTGAATAGTCGTGTCTGTTGCGTGGCTCAAATCAAAAATGGCACATGTTTACGAAAATGCTGAACTTGTGGACATGGTTCTTATTTACGGGGAGTCATTACAAAATGCTGCCGCGACATCACGGATCTATGCGGATCGGTTTCAGAATCTAGTGCAACCAACCCCTCGTGCCTTTGTTAATGTAGTGCAAAGAGCTCGTGAATCAGGTGACTTAAGACCTCACAGAGGAGATCATGCCGGTGCTCCAAGACCGCACGATCAAATAGAACTAGAAGCACAAATTTTAGAATTAGTAAGTGATGATCCAACAGTAAGCACCCGACAAATTTCAACTCAATTGGCGATTAGTCAATATAAAACTTGGAAAACTCTACGTGAAAATCAGTTCTATCCGTTTCACATACAAAAAGTGTAGGCCTTACAACCGGAAGATCATGAACAAAGGGTTGACTTTTGCAATTGGCTTTTAAATAAACATCAAAATGATGAAAATTTTTTAAATCAAATTTTAGTGAGTGATGAAGCCCTCTTTACTAGAAACGGAATTATTAATTCACGTAATTCTCACGTTTTGGCTATTGAAAATCCCCATGAAATAAAGGAAACCAATTTTCAACAGCGATTTGAACCTGTCAATCAACCTGTGGGCGGGAATTGTTAATGGAATTTTAGTGGGGCCTTTTGAATTACCAAATCGCTTAACTGGTGAAAATTATCTTGATTTCTTGCAACACAATTTGCCTGGTTTACTGGAAGATGTGCCTTTAAATATTAGACAAAACATGTGGTTTTTACAAGATGGGGCACCACCCCATTATGCAAGAAATGTGCGTGAATTTTAAAATAGACAATTTAATAATCGTTGGATCGGCCGTGGCGGTTTTGTACCTTGGCCGCCAAGGTCTCCGGACTTAAATCCTTTAGACTTTTGTTTGTGGGGTTGGCTAAAAACTCTAGTGTATAAAACACCGGTTAATACACGCGAAGAATTACGTGCTCGAATTGAGGAAATGAGTACAGTGATCAGAAATCAACCAGTGATTTTATTGCGTGCTTGTAAAGAGACATGGCTAAGACGCGCCTAGCTGTGCGTCGAGCAAAACGGAAATCATTTCGAACAGTTTTTGTGACATGCTTTTGGGCGCACATGTCCGCACTGAAATACTTGTCGGGAGGATACTTTATAAAACAAGGTAACATTTTTTTTTAATTTTTTTTTAATTTTTACACACATATTTTGGTTTATCTTCCTTCTACAATCATTATCTGAAAATTAATGACTCAACTTCAAAGTCACCCTGTATATATTGTACAATTTATTGTATCGATTGCTGCAATATATTGCATAAATTTAATTTTCTTGTTTCACGTTTAAATTCTAGGCAATTTGATACTTTTTATTTGTCCACCCCTAGAACAAACATCTTAAAGTTTTCTCTACTATTTTACTATTGTGGTAGGGCTAATAACGTTTCAGAACTATTGGGTATATTTCTGTGAGGTTTTGTCTATTTTTTGCTCTCTTATATGCATTATGATATTTGTAAATAGCACCTTTGTGTTTGAACTACCTACTCTTGCATGTATTAGAAAATAATTATGTTTTTTTTGTAGTCCGGACTGTCTGCTACTCTGTAAATGGCTGTTGATGTTGAGTAGTGTATATGTGGGCGTCAAACCCCATTCCTTGAAATGCCTAGTCAGTCCCGTATTGCCGGCAAACCCCGTAAGAGTTTGATTATTACAACGTATGACTAAGCAGTTCAGTCATTCCCTGTAATGACTGAACAACTTCAGTCAAACACCGTAACAACCACATTAACTTCGTTACTGGATTTGCCTGGTTCAGTCATTCATTGTACCAGTTTTGTGTTCATTTCCTTGAGTATACACATTGTCTTTTTTGTGTTTGTAAAAATATGACAGCATTCAGAATTATTTTACAAGAAACTACTGAATACTATGACAGTGTGAATAAGAAAAAGCCATGGAATACAAATGAGGTAAAGGAGGTAAATTAATTTTTATAATTTTGTGAAGCTAACCTAAATTATAATGTACATAGGCTTGCTCGACAGCAGCATACATTGTTGTCGGATTTCGTATATAAATTCTTGATCAAAAAATATACAGGGTGTCCGCAAAGTTGGGGGTTTCCTTTACACGACGTGTAGATCTACATAAGCAATTTTTCTTAGTACCATATACACCAATGACTTAAGGGAACCGAGATAAAGGGCTCTACAACATCAAAAATATCTGAATACCGTCCTGTAGCCGTGACATCACCGACTGGTACAAGGTCACTGGCTCAACTCGACGACAGAACTGGGTCGGGGTCAGTGTGTCAGGTCAGTATGCAACCTTCAACCGACGGTTATGGTCACGCGTGTAGAGGTAATCGCGTAGACGAGAATCCCTTAACAAGCACTAGAGACGTGGCTAGAGAAGTGCAAGTATCAAAAACTAAAGTGTGGCAAACGCTTGCGTGAAGACGGGCTATATCCGTTTCACGTCCAACGTGTACAAGCTTCAACCTGACGATTTTCCAGCAAGAGTGCGGTTTTGTGAGTGCTTGTTGCATCAACATGACAATAATCCGGACTTTTTAAAGTGCATATTGGTGACAGACGAATCTACGTTCACGCGTAATGGGGCGAATGACTTTCGCAACACTCATGTTTGGTCAGTAGAAAATCCGCACGCTGTCCGTCGGGCACATTTTCAACAAACATTTTCGGTGAATGTTTGGGCTGGCATGGTGAACGGTATGCTCATTGGACCATTTATTCTCCCAAATCGATTGGACGGGATGCAATACCTAAACTTTTTACGCAACATTTTGCCTTCCTTGTTAGTTGCCATTAAGTGTAAGACAATCAATGTGGTTTCTGCATCTGCTCGGTAGCGCATCAGCTGATTTCATTTTCTGTTGGAGCGGTATGATTTCGGGCAGAGACGTACTTAGCCCTTCTCATCAACTGGAGAGTGAGTACTTTTTCCTTTATTTTTTTTACTTGGTCGCCCTCGTTTCAGTACACATTACCTTTGTTATTTCAAAGGTAGTTGTTTCTGAAAAGGAAAACCCCAGCTTTGCGGACACCCTGTATTATTCCACACTGGAGTAATATCAACAATACAGGGCCTCCACGCACGGTTCGCCATCAGGAGATTATATTAATTCTTCTGAACTTATAACAAATGAAAGCTATTCCTGAAAAAGTTTTATCAATACGTGAAGCTGTGCAGTCACTTTTGCTAGAGGGGGGCCAAGGACATTTTAAGTGTTCCTGTAAACCAGCGAAAAGAAGTGTTTATCCAAAAGATGTGTTTGTTTAAAAAAAACTTATTTGTAATTCAAGGTGCCATACGAGTCTAACATGCAGTAACAAATAATGTTTGAAATAATAGAATATATAAGATAATTCTATGTAACTTTTATTCATTTGTCACTACTCACAGTTCTGCATTTTTTCAAAATGTGTATTTATTGTTTTATATTTCTTTCGATAGTTTCAGGATATTTATTGTTGATTTAATACATTAATGAATAACATCCACAATAATGTAATAATAAAGACAAAGTTTTCATATATTTTTCTTTCCTTTTAGATTAATTCATGGTTAATTATTTTTCTTTTAATATTATTGATAAAGTAGTATCTTGTGGTATTATGTACTTCATTGGAGCAACACTGTATTGCTAACAGCGTTTGACCAAAATAGGCGAATGCAGTAATGAAGTTAATGTGGTTGTTACGGTGTTTGTCTGAAATTGTTCAGTCATTATAGGGAATGACTGAAATGCTTAGTCAAACGTTGTAATAATCACTGTTACGGTATTTGCCGGCAATACGGGGACCAACTAGGCAGGATGTCAGCGTTTGACGCCGACATATACATAAATACATAAAAGAAATTCAGTTAATCAAGCAACACCATTTGCAGTGCCAGTTACGTTTTTACGGACGCTTTATAGAAATTACTTGCACGAGTGATTCCAGAAATACAATTTTCGTACGACTCGTTCGTTTGCGGATGCCTAATTTTTTGTATGATTTGAATGATACCTTTCTAGGTTATATCTGGAATTGGAAAATTGCCTAGTGAAATGCGTAAGGATGTTGAAAAGCCATACATGGTAAATACTGAACAGATTAAGGCCATATATAAGTTGTACATGATATCAGACCGGCACTACCTTTCACACCTATTTTCTCAACGACGCGACGGACGGTTAAACTGTTTGTTCTCGATAAGCAACTGCGAGGCGTTTATAGCGACTGATCTGTCGTGTTCATCCGACATGATTGATCATCAGTTTATTATAAATAAATATAGCTATCGTCGCGTTGAGGTGGTCGTACAGCAGTTATCTCTCTATTTGCACATGGCCTACCATCGATGTTGGCTAAGCTGATTTACATACTTGCTAGATTTTCCACAGGCCGATTGACCGTTGCGATATGTCGTTGAGAAAAGAAACTGACCTTACTGACGCTTGATTATTGAAGTTCATCGTTAAAATCTGATACAGTATTGCTAGTTTTAAGTGTGAGCTACGAAAATTATTAGTTGAAAAATGTTTCTACTCGTGTGAATACCTCGCACTGTGATATATTTTTAAAACGGTTTTTATATGTGAATGTCTGTACGAATTAAGTTGTTCCTGTTTGTGCTTTGTAAATACTTACGTTTGTTATGTTTCTACTTTTAATTAAGGGTATGTACCTCTTTCTTAGGACGAGTCTTATGTCATTTTATTATCTACAAGACAATAAATCTATCTATATATATAGGTATTTGGCGGAAAGCGTATGTTTCAAGAGAACTGAAATAATACTACATTTTCTAGCCGATACGAATTATACTGATTGACAAAAAAGGTAAGCACCTACGTATTATTAGAATCAAGAATTTTTTACGTATCGATTTACCTTGGCATGAACAAGTGATAAAATTGCCAGGTTCTTCTGTTAAGGTTTTTAGGTGGTTGCGTGTACTGTATGGTGATAAAGAAGCATTCAGTTTTAGTACATTTACGGTGTCAGTTGAATGTTAAATTTCGTGTAGCTCATTGAGAAGCCCTTTTGTGATTGCTCAAAATGCGTAGAGTGCGTAGAATCCGCCAAGTGTCGCAGCTAAGTGACCTTGAGAGGGGTCGAATTGTCGGGTTGCAGGAAGCTGGTCTATCGGAAGGATGGTTGGTATGCGTACGGTGTATCGCCGAAAACGACCGTTTGGCCTTTTTTCTTATTATCCACATTGGGTGCTACCTCTCACAGCCGAACATCGGCGTAACCGTTTGCTCAGGTGTAGTAAAAAATTATATGGGATCGGGAATAGAATCAGGTGGTCTTTAGTGACGAATACCGCTTCTGTCTGGGTATGCACGACGGCCGGGCAAGACGTGACCCACAATTTGACAGAGAGCGTCTCATTCACCATACCGTTTGGTTATGGTATGGGGGGCTATTGCTTATGATAGCAGATCACCACTTATCTTCATTGTTGGATTTGCAACACCCTCCACAGTCTTTAGCAGCTCTTACTCACAGAGTTGCAGTAGCCTGGAATGAGATACCCCAACACGATATCGACCACCTTATCAGCACGGTGTCCAGGCGTGTCAATGAGTGTATAAGAAATCGTGGATCCTCAACACATTATTGAACCAGCTTCTGCAGTCAGTTGACAAATCAAGCTAGAAATTTAATCATTTCAGTAATAAGGGACACTGAACGTATATGCCAAAAATTATTAAAATCTGATAAACATACGTAGGTGTTTAACTTTTTTGTCACTCAGTATACATATATGTTTAAATTCCTGTTCATTGTACGATGTTTCAATGACAATTACAATAATTTAACATTTGTATTTTGAATAACTTTGCAAAATTGCTTGAAATTATAATACATGATCGGATCTATTCAAAAACATCTATGTACATTTCAGATTGTCAGCATGGTTTCATCAATAAAAGATTAAGGGCCAATTTCAGTATGAGATAACATCTTGTCCTTGAAACATCATCAGCTTATTGAATATTAAGAAATTACATATAATTCAGTCAAAATTTAAAAAAATGTTTGATTTTTGAATAAAATTCATGATTGAATTACTACTGTTGATTTTTTATTCATGATTATAATATTTTCTTCAATTGATATGCGATTTTAGTGATTCAGGATCATTTACTGGGTGTTTTTTCCTATAAACCTCTTACAGATAGCCATTAAGCACCTACTTGATGACTGGCTCTACCAAAAAGTTCATAGTTATTGCTCGTTTCCAAACATTCATTCATTTACTTGCCGTTCATCAGAACCATTATGGCACCTTAGATTGATATTCCCACAAAACCATTCTGGTTTTTTAATATCCATACATCCATAAAGTTGAGTATTTTTCGTTGTTCAGGAACTTAACAAACATCCACACTATATTCACAGCGATTAAAAAATACCCAAATATATGTCGTAGAGCTACCAGCAAACCTAAAACCTGCAGAAAAACTAGAAATTTGCAATATTTTTCTTTTTTCACTGAGTACATATTCTGGGTTATATTTATATTAGACGTTATTTGAATCACAACACATATACACTGGTTTGAATAACAGCTGATTATCTCCTGATATTTTAAAACTAACCATATTGACTAGTGACACATAATTCTGTGGGATCCGTCAACACATCGTCCCAGTGGAGCAAACTCTGCCAACTGTCGAAATAAACTTTATTAATTCCAAGTCTTATTTTTGTTTTACTGTGCCTGCTTAGATATTCAAATACGGCCAGGAATTATTAGCGCCTGGCTATTTTAGGCCTTCAATAACTCCTTATTTTAGATCTCTCCTTATTTTGTTTTTGCCACGCATTCATGGTAGAAAGAAAAATATTTTATCGAATATCGATACCGTATACCGTGCAGCAGGCACGCCCATCACTACGTTGACAGATTGCAGAATGTTGTCAAGGTGACAATCGTTATGTGGCAGTTGTTTCTTTTTCTGTCTGAAACAGGTAAGTAGGCTTTGTGTATTCATTTTTATTTTTATAGCGTTTCCAGAATTTCATATTTCGAAACGATGTCATGGGCCGGCAGGGGAAAATCTTTCTCTGAGAACTGAAAATCATTAAACGCGCTGTTTTCAGTCTATTTTATTCTATCCCTTAGGGAAGTACAGAATGAAGAAAAGACTACAGTGCTCAGTGGCCACTCAATGGCACAGTGTTCGTCTGTAATGATAATATTCAAATACTACTAAACACCTAAATAGCTTTCTGGCCTTTCAATTTCGATCCTACCAGTCCTCGCTTAGAGATGGTAGCACAGTACACACTCGGGGTATACGGTTACGGATGTTTATGATTCCTCTCGATATTGATATATCCTCATGAAACCATCGATGCGTAAAGATCGATGTTCTACGTCCGATGTATCGATGTTTTCGATACATCAATGTATCATCTAAGGTCACCACCCTATATTGTATTCCCACCAGTCAAAAGTCAAAAACCTTAACCACCAATATTTTATCACTATTTATAATTCTTTTTAGCTCTTATTTTTCAGTAATTAATAATAATTTTAGGTCTATGTCTACAGTAATTGCATTATGCACCTCGGAGATGTAGGGATTAACATGTTTTACACATATCGGTGTTTTAGGATGGGGACGACCATACTGTTTTGACTGCTTTGAAGAAATTCATTAACCAATGGATTTATAACAAATGATTACTATTATGATGTAAAGAGATATGAGGAGTTGGTTGGAATACATTTTATATTCTATTTTCTTGCAAATCCGCATAATTCAGTATATTGAACTTAACAAATTTCGAGATTGCCATGAATTAACAAACAACCAAACCTGCTGGCAAATTTAACATCTAGAAAATCGACCTATTATTTCTCCCATTCCCATTCGCTGAGGGGATAACGGATGGTCAAATGTACACCTATAACATAAATCAAAATACATGAAAGTTGTCATGTTTTCTCTGTACAAAAGCATCATGTTGGAATCAAAAAGTGGTCTTGTTTATAATACAGTCGAATTTTCACGATTTTATTCAACATTTTAATGGAAATCACTGATATTCTGAGACCTTTGACAGCTTCCGTCAAATTGCATTTCGATAAGGTATTTTCCTATTGGTCCATAATATTAATGTTGGTGAAATCGGCCCTAACAGTTTCAAACATAACCAATTTTGAGCAACTTTGTCTGTTTTGGAAAAACAAGGACAGTTTGATATCATCTACTCAAATTTTACTAATAGTCTAATCACATTAGACGAAAATACCCCTGGTTTGCGAAATAACTGTAAAGCCTGGTTTTATTGATGCAAGTTGTTCAAGGATTTCTTTAAAACATGGAGGCATAAAATGGGTACACCAATTTTTGTGGGAAAGCTTTTTATTTTTATTTAAAGCAAATAATAAGAAAACGCGTTTTTTGGGATTCAGTCGAGAGTATTGACAGGAACAGAAAAACTCTTTAAACAACATTTTTAGATATTTTTGAACCCTACAGAATGAGACCACAAGTGAAAAGATCCCACTAGATAGTAAAAACGATATAGCCAAAAGCCGAGGCATAACGCAGCTACTTGAAGTTCTTCAAGTCCGAAGATTGCTTACGTCTAAATAACCACAACAAAATTGCAGTCGATCGGTCAGGCAGTTTTTGAGAATTTCTAATTGTTTGTCCCAAATTAGCTGTCTTCCGGTGATCACTTCTAGTTTATTGAGCAATATACAGGGTTCATGCAAAGGGCATGTTACAGCAAAATACACGGGTTTACTGCAGATACGAATCACAAGCCATTCCGAAAGATAATTGTTCTTTTTATGCGAAAAACGAATGGCTACGTTTTTTTATTCTAAACAAATTCAAACATTTCGTATTTGTAAGTAATTGAACAGACAAGCTGCGATATTCGAAAAACATACGATATTATACACATTTTAAAACAAAGCGGATGTGTCTGTCACCTTTTGTTGCGAAGATATTTTTCTCTTCATATTCTTGTCTATACATATTGAGTGCTGAAGTTTTTACATTTTGTTCACAACGAGGACTACACAGCTGGGACATTATAGAGAGCGTAAGAGACTACTAGAGTC